GCTTTAAATCTGGTCACCTTACCATAGAACCCTCTGGACTGTAAACTTGATGGGAGGAGCCAGGTGGCGCCTGGTAACATGCTCAGCGGGTGACTTAGAGGCGGGCAGTCTGGACTCCCCAGACCCTCCCTGGAAGAAGAGACCCTGAAAACTGCCCCCTGGCCATCACGCAGAGACCCTCGGGGACTGCTTCTCTGCCCCATGCGGTCAACTAGATGGCACACAGCAGCAACAGCAGACACCGAGGCAGGTGGCCAAGCCTCTTGTCGTCAGAGCACCACTGGAGGGGCTCACACTGCCCACCTTTAGGTTACTAGTCAAGCACAAGTACATGGAACACAGAAACCAGCTGAAAAACAACTGTGAGCTAGTAATCAAACACGGCTGAACGGAGAAGCAACTCGACGTGCTCAGTAATGCGGATGGGAAGAAGGGGCCGGGAGGGATTTAGAGACGTTACCAGTATGGGCTTCATTACACATATAGAGGATGGGGATGCCCTACCCCATCACCAAGAGAGCCGGATCCCCACCCTTCCTAGCAGGAAGCCAATTGGTAAAAAAGCCAAGGGCAGTCGAAACCTGCGATTTAGAATCCAGGAGACAAAGGCTCAAAGGAAACGCTGAGATGGCTTTTTTCCCGTTTCAGGACGGGAGACGTCTCAAACGTGGGTCTTCTTGAAGTTCCGTTTCTTAAACACGGAAGGCACAGAGGAATGAGGAGCGACACGTGAGAGGTGGGTCGTGCGGGTGGGGTTGGTTAAGGATTCAGAGAGGAAGGGCTGAGACCTGGGGGGGAAAGGGGCTCTTAGGCAGGGAGCCTCGGCCACCTTCTCGCTCTGGGGCTCGACTGCATCCTAGTTAGAAAGGGCACCGAGGCATAGATTGGGAGTGGGAAGGCTGGAACTCAAGGGACCCCAGTTAGTAGACTCTCCCCAGTTCTGAGATGAAAGGGAGAAGGTCCGTGGGGAAGTGATGGTGCTGTGGGGTGAAGAGCGGGGTGTGGTGACAAGGAGGAACCTCAGGGACCCTTCAGTACTTAGCTGGTTGAAGGGATGGAGGAAGAGGAGGGAGCTGATAGGTGTGATGGGAAGGTAGAGATTGGGGAGACACTCTGTACTGGCCGTGGACCCCATCCCCAAAGCACCATCCAGCACAAAAACCACACGTGTGTGAGTCTGGGGAGCCACGACAGGGTGGGGCTAAGAAGGCAAGCTTGGGGCTAACACTAAGCAAACCTAGTGCTCCCAAGAGAAAGGTGTGAACTCTGTGGCCAGACAGGCCTGGGTGCATTCCCCAACCCATGCCGCCTGCCGTCTCCGTGGCTCCGTGCAAGTTATCTGACATATCCTTGAATCCCAAAGATGTTCCTGTCTCCATGAGGAGCCGAGGCTCTTCCTCATAGGTCTGCCAGCCATGGGAGCTCCCTGCTGTCCTGCGTCCCACCTGTGACTGCTCCCCCACTCCCTTGATGCCGCGGAGGTGTTTCTAGGAAGACCCCGCTGTCTCCCCAGGGTGCTACAACCTCTGCGATCTACTCCCTGTCCGGCACCCTTCGGACTGTGGGGCCTTCCGACGGTGGGACCCCACGGCGTGGGGTGTTTGTGGAAGGCACCTGTAACTCTCCGTCCACGAACTCAAGAACCGAAACTCTGGCGTTTGCATCAACCAGAAAGGCAGCTTTATTAGCCCACCACCAGCAGAGGGATGGGGAGACAGCTGGAGACCGCGCTGGGAGAACAGGGTCCTGACCCAGGCCTTCCAGGCCAGGCCGGCCGACCGGCAGGGGCAGGAGGCTGTAGTGGAACTTGCTCAGGGTTTGGAGTGCTGGCTGTGGCTGAAGCTAGAGGAGCCCTGCTGGCGGCCGGAGGAGAAGGACGAGGAGGAAGAGGCGGCTGTGGAGAGAGGAGACAAGAGC